CGGATTCCGGGGTTCCTCGTTCACCGCTTGCCAACTCAATACTGTCCGGATCAATCTCACAAATTTGCGATAGTTGTTGCTGTTCGCTGTTGCTAACTGTGTAACCAAGAGTACTTTGATTGTGATGCAAGTTAGTAAACTTATGGAGCTTCGAGTTATGGCTACAGCTGTATATCGGATCAGGAGGCACCTCATGATGGGGAGGCATTGCCGTTGGCGACCACTATAACGGTTCGTGTTTCGACCTTATTATTTGCACGTAACTTCAGCATTCGGCGAGGTCGATTGACGAGTGATTAAAGACGAATAAGATGCGGGACGATCACACGTTTGTGGCTGGCTCACGAAAGCTGGCAGTGATGGAACTGACGATTATGACCAGGCCGCCAATGTTCAGCACCTGCTGCAACCTAATAAATAGACGGGCATACAAATGTGAATAGGGCATATTGTCCGCGTAGTGTTACATTCACGGTGATGAGGTAATGGAAGTTCGTCCCGAAAGGCAGTCCCTCGGTTCGCTGATTAATTGACTTTTTTCGACGGGGTGCACACACAGCCTGCTTTTGTAGACTTGTTAAACTACTAACAGTGCGGCTAAATGAATAACTTCCTAGAAAACATAGCGTCAAATTAGCAGGACTAAGGCTCTTTCCTGGATTACGCAAAAGGCAGTGCATCAAACGTCCTTGTATCAGCGCTAATATGGTGCTTCCTAATATCAAATTCGACCTCCCGTGCATAGTGTCGAAGAACAAGAATGTTACATAATATAAGCCGTTTACCATAGGGATGTGTATGTCGTCCAGATATATTTTTGCTTCAGGATAGATCCTGAGTCACGGTTCCTAATCTATACAATTCGATCTTTCTAGAAAATCCTCTTTGGTTCGTGCCGGCATTTAATCATGGAAAGTCAGTGAATTGTACGAGTTATGCATGTTATAAGCCTTAATTTAAGCATTTCTCAGGCAGAGCGACATAACTGAACACATTTCATGTCCTTGCTCAGCTCACCGATTTCTCTCCTAGTTTTTCATGACCACACTCAAGCCGACCAAGCTGAGTCGAGATACTTGAACGAGTATTTCTAATCATGCATTCTATGATCATTCGTTGGCTTAATATCACGGTATGGTCGATTAGACCTTACGCTCCCTGCTACAGGTATCGGTCACTCTGATGTGTCCTATAACATTTCTTTGCGCAATTGCTACCTACAACAATATAATAGCGACGCATTGGTACTAGGTTTATTGAGTAAGGCTTGTCCCTACATGGCCTCGACTAGACTTGAAGTCCGTGCAAACATCCCTCTGAGGTGTTTTATCTACTAGGCTACAGTGTCGTATGATGTGGCATAGTGCCCTTACTACCGCAAGCACTGTCAAGCTTAAAAGTTTACAGTTGAAGCTGTAGCTAAACAGAGAAAATCGTAACGGGCAGAAGAAAAATAGTACTAGCGAATACTGAAACTATTACTCTACGCTTGAATGTAAGTCTACTTCAAGTACGACTTAACTGTAAGTTTTGAATTAGGCGCGCATATAAGATAACAATAGAAGAATCGCGCTCTTCAATGAGAGAGGCAAACGCAAGCGTACTTTAGGCACCTTCCTTTGCATTTAAAGTCAATATTAAAAAATCACTTCGTTATAATGTCTGTATTTTTTTTGGACAATCGTCGAGGTGTCTTTGTATCATCATCATTCACTGAATTATGTTCTGCATTCAGTAGTTATCACGAATTATATTATGTGGCCTAGTGGACCTTTGCTACATCTAGGGCAAAGTAGATGAAAGCCTTGAGTGTTGCAAGGGGTAAAAGCTATCATGAACGTTTTTATACCAAAATGTACATATATATATATATATAGGATCCGGTTATTTTCGTTACTGTTGAATACTACATAAAGGTTAATACTCGGTAGACGGGGCTGTCTATACATGGCGACCCATGAGAAAACCAGCACGTTTACTAGTTCGACATCAGGCAGGATTATTAATTTTCACACAGTCGAATAGGCCTGTGCTATAAAAACTGAGACAAACAAAAATAAATTTAACTTTGTTTCCATTATTTTGTTATTTCCGTTCTAGGTCTTTTGCTATTTCTAGAACGCATAGGTTAAACCTTTGACTGTCGCAAAATGTCGATACATTACCAGCAGGAACAATATTTACACTTCTCATACCAGTCGGTAGAATGAGTTAGTTTGCAAAAAAACGCCAATTCATCTTTTGGCGCCATTTATTTGCGTTTGAACTCAACGAAATGAATAAAGCGTTAGAGCCTCGATGGCCTACGAATAGTTGATTGAAGTAGTTTTTTGTCCTTAGCTCAGATTGCTGGTTGCCATTACTGAAGTAACGGAGCACTGAATCAATCGTCTGTCTTAAAACCATCTCATTCCTTCATCGTCAGACTCAGAGAAAGTGAAGCTGTTTGAAGGCATTCAATCATGCAGTCACAGTGGTAAGCGATTGGGGAATTGTAACAGCGACAAATAGTAAACTTGCCTAAAGGTCGTATTGATTCACATAACCTTACTACCTAATTTCAGGTATCTATCTAGGATGACTACTTCACACGTTCGATTACAACGAACCCCATCTGCGATGCGATAAGGCGGCTATGTGTTTCTGTTCTAGCAATGTGTTGCTTCACTGAACCCCTTAGCATTTTGATGTCCGATGTTTGCCAAGATGAACTGCAACGTCACCGGGCTACAGTAACAATGTAAATGAAAACCTTGCCAAACGCATCGCACCGCCAAGCGAATGTGTTTCTCTTATAATACCCAACGGAAAGTCTTGTTTATCATTCACATGACCCCGTTACTAACATCTAATGCTTCTTTTTGGAAGCCATAGTTGAAGAAAGATCGAAAAGCTTTTGAGGTTTATATTGAAATATATAAGACGGGTAGCAGATTACAGATGCTTTTGCCATCTTTCTTTTTTTTCCTGCTGTAGTATATTAGAACATACTTCAGATCTATTTATACAAATGCTTGATCCTTATAGATAGAACGTCCAAAAGGAGCTTTTTGCAGGGAGACGCTACATTGGTCGTGTTAGTATCATCTATCAACTGTTAGCTGAGATCAGATCTGTACGCATTGTCGACGTTCGACATAGCTTTGTACCATGAAGAGCACAGTCTTTTCCAATTTTCCCAGTGACGCGCTGCAGATATTTGGAAACTCGCAAGCTCAATATTGCCATAATTAGAATGTCCTAAACAGTCCTAAAAGTACGCCACGCCATACTTACTCGTAGTGGTCGAACATAAAAGTTATTTTTCTCATTTTTGCGATAACTTGCTGCCTACTTTAGAAAAAGTTGGTTAGACTAGTAAAAAAGAAAAATTGATATTTCGCCCTAATCTTGTCATCGTAAAACTTTTGTGATTTTTTTGGGCAAAAACAAATGATTTTTACATCCTCACTAAAACAAGCCAGTTATCCAGGGACCGAGATGGGTCGACAGCGCTGATCCATAATATTCCATCCAAGTTTAAATATTTGCCGGCCTGTTAAAGATGTGTATGACCTAACATCGTCACTCTGGAAAACTACGCTCACTGACTTGGCCGGTTTTTTCAATGGCTTATTGTAATCTTGTGAGGTGTTCATAGTGAAATGCGAATCAGGCCGCAACGGCAGTAGTCGCGCTATTGCTGTTCAACTCCGCAAGATGCCTGGCATCAGTCCGGGCTTTCCCACAGATTTTTTCGCACGTCTCGTACTTCCGTATGTGATCCGTCCTTATCACTAATAACCAGCCGCTGTAAGAATGGCTCAATTTTCTTGCGTTTCTGTAGAGTTCCGTTAATAGAAACACAATTAATTCGAGTCATACTAAGACAGTTGAGCGTCTTGCAGTGAGCCCTTTTGAGTTTACAGTCGTTCAATGGTGGATACCCTAGCTCCTTTGCGACTTCATGGTTATATACGTGTCGGTCTTGTTAACTGTCGCAATAGTTTCATAAACTGTTTGGTTAACCACTACGAGAAGTTTGTCTCACACTGTGGTTTCCAAAATGAAAGAGGAAGTACCACCTTTAGGCTATTTTTTTTTGACAACTCGATCACAAACAGCGATCATTTCTGCGGACCTGGGCAGCGTTTGTGCCTTCATCGTAATGAAACTGTAATAACGACAGTTTTGCAGCGACTTCACTCATCCTCACGACGTTCTACCTGAAGTCTAAACAAAACCTTAACAGTTATAGTACTTTTGCTGTCGATAAGTTAGATTTGGCTGTATCGTGTCGTTGAAGACGATCGCTTAGGTCTATAGGCTGCCGCCAGCCTAAAACTACATACGTCTGGCTAGTTGACCCATAGCAACGGCTGGTATAGTTAAGTCGCTAAACTAGATGTTTGCTCGTTGGGTGCCATTTTGACGAATGAAACTGAAAGCGTATTGATGCTTTTGCATACATAGCAACAGAACGGGGCTATGGATGACTTGTAGAGAAAATTTATAGCAAGAGACCTCCTATTCCACTGCACCGATACGGCAAGTGGCCAAAAGTGTTTACCCACCCTTATGGACCGCTGAGCTATTCGAAAGATATGCTAGATACGCTGATATTTTCACCGTGTAGAGTACCACTGGACAGTATTCTAATATTCACTCAGGGGACCCGTTAAGTATCAGACATAGTAGACGTTTATAGCTCGACACAAAAATCATGGAGGCCAATATTTTGTTCCATTTATATTCCAATATAAATGAACGTTTACGGAAAATTACGCCACCGCCAGAGTGTTGTATCTGTGTGGAACATGTACGACTTAAATACTTGTCACTCGTTAGACAGTAGGTAGTTTCTAGGGTTCGGCATGCGCACACAGCATATAAGAGGTGGTCATCAACGGAACATGTGCTCAAACGCCTTAAAACTACTGCATAGTGTGTAGCGAGTAAGAAGATCATTTGCAAGCTGATGACTGCAATATCAATGTTGAATGTCATTATTTTGCACTTACCAGGCGGCCGGACCTTCTGGCGTATACCAACAAATTCATAGACGCGGGTCCAAATATCGACTCTATTCAACCGGGATGAGGTTGGCAGTGGCCTGCCAGCTTGATTGGCGTTAGGGGCCTCAGGTCGATAATGCTGATGGCCTGAACGAGATGGAGTAATCACCTGCCATCAGAAGGACGAAAGCAGACAGAAAAAAGTTAATCTGTGTTGCAATATGAATGTATATGGTGGCCATGCTCCGAGCTTACCATGAAGTTCGTCGTTGGCAGTACAAATATGGATGTACCTCTAGATGATCGCTTATTGAGAACGACAGCGTTCCCTAGTTGAGATCACGTTCGTTCGTTTTGCGTGCGTACCTTTTCGATTCAAGCCAGCGAAGGACTAATTTAACGCTTAAGGGTCCAAATATTCATCTGTGTATAAGTGTTACTTATGCACTCTAAAACGGCTATCTGAGAAGCTGTCTTGTTTCTGCACGTGCACCTGAATAGGTACGTGCTGGCCTCAGTAAATGTATTATTGCATCGACAGCGTTAGGGTAACAGCTTGAACGTTTACAGGATTTTCGTTATGGCTGTAAATTGGTTTACGAGAAAAAATCCCGGCAGCGGCATCGGTAGCTTGCTGTTCATCATCAGCTCGGCCAAGCTAAACAGTAAGAAACGGGTAGAACAAACGCTCTTGCTACATCTCTCAGTTACCTTTCACTGTACCTCTGTTTCGAATTTCGCGTTCCGAACTGCCATCAGGCATAATTATGGCACCTAACCCAGCTGACCCCCCTGTCCAAGACGCTTCCTATGTCAATCCCGCTACAATAACATACGATTGGCTTAAGTTGATGGCTCATAGTCGAGGACACAATGTAGTGAGTCACGTTCATGGATTAGTCAGACCGGTTTAAGAGTGTTACAGGCAATATGCCTATAGCAGGGCGATTGGGCAAGTAGATGTTGCCTGTTAGCAATTAGAGTAGTTGGCCAAAATAGAGCGTTGGCTAAATTGTATACATCTTGCAAACAATATTTAATTCATCTTTCGGGTGCTCCATTTACGCAGCTGCACGCCATTAAAAATTTCGATAAAATAAGATCAAACCGCATTTTATCCAAGCGACAGACGCAATATGGAGAAAATCTATCTGTAGGGCAATTACGATTTTCATTTTCGTCATTCGTTAATACTGCAAATCTCGAAAATAGTAGCGCTATGCTCATGTTACTTACTAATCGTCGAGTATTTAAATTTTTGGCGGGGTCGAAATAGTCGAGCGCGCCCTCTATAAGCCTCATAGCGCATAGACCCTCTTAGACCACCGACAACACTTTTGACTACTTTTCACGTAATACCAATAATAAATATATATATTAGAACTCATCAAACGCGTAAACAACTTAAGAAAGACTGAGTCTATCCGCGTTGCACATTTATGTATACGTAATATATATATATATATATATATATAAAGACATTATACTATCAAACCTGTCAAAACCTCCTTGAATCATCATATTGGGCTAAAAAAAAAAAATATATATATATATATATATATATATATATATGTATATATATATATATATGTATATATATATATATATGCAATGTCGCGTTTTTCATAGAACAAAAACGTGAACGACCATTTCTTGGATCGTGATGCAGCCGTTGCAGAATGGCCGTCTGAACCCTGACCCTTCTGATCATATGAAACGAATGATGCTAGTGGCTTTGCCGCTGCTCGTTTGCGATAGACGGGGGCGACCAAGGGGGGGAGGTAGAAGTATCACAGTGGATAAAAACGAAGGCACGGGAATATCGGAAGCTGTTTATAAATGATTTGAGTGAGAGAAGCTGGCTGCTATGAACATATTCTGTATATACGTTAAGAGCGAAAAAGTATCATAATCAAGAAAAAACAGCCAAGAGATAACGTTTAGTCCTCTGATTAAAAGTACGGGCCAACTGCTGCATTGTACAACACGCGCCTAATACGCTATGAGCTGCTGCACCACGGTTGGGTGTCCAGAACAAATTCGTTCCCCCCCTTTCACTCACTCACTCACTCACGCCCATACACACACAGGCAACAATGAAGGGACTCGCTATTATTAAAAAAGACTTGGCCTTGCCGGCTGTACCGGGCCTTCCTAGTGTGGGAAAAGTAAACACGACATTCGTAACCGATGCTGGGTGTTTTGTCGGTCACTTAAGTAATAAGCAAGCTGGGTCAATTTTTCTCACGGGTGTTATACTTCAAACGCAGACTGGCTACAGATTAACATTAGCAATAAATATGCATTTGATACTTGCCGTATGAGTCGATTTGTTGTAGCCAACGGTCAGGGAATCTAAAGATCCTTCTCTCAAATGCTGCTGCCGGCGCCTGTTCGATTCCTTTTCGTTCCGTCCTGCTCCCTGATGTTGTCTCTTCGGCGGCTGTTGATCCGCTTCCGGCTGAACGCGCCGAACGGTGTTATTACTATGGATGTTGCTGGCGCCTATGTTATTTATGTTCTTATTGTTATTAGTGTAATTGTTGTTGTTGCCGCCGCGGGGATTATTTCCGTTTCGGATGTTGTTGTCGTTATTCCTGCTACCGGCCTTATCCGTTGTTATAGTGACCATGGATGATGGTATTGGCTAGGCAGGACGTGGAGCACAGTCTCCAACCTGCGCCGCTCCGTTGCAACACTACCAGCTCTAGCAGCTGCAGTCGATTAACTTATTGATTGATGTCTCAGTTACGTTCTGTCGCCAGTTAGCTTTGTCAAGCCAAAATAGCGATATCTAATATGATTCGCTAGCGGCGATAATAATCACGAGATTGAAACTGTCGTCGATCCAGTATCGTTTGTATTTCGTATCTGGATCAGAGCGATGACATCTGGAAAACCGCTCGTATTTCTAGTTCTTTAAAGCTTGTCGGATATCTCACGAACTATACGCAGACGTCGCGGAAAAGTTCGCTTTCACTAACTTCAAAACAAGCTTAGTTTCTCGATGATTCCACAACTCAATGTTCGTAGCGTCTGACACGGTTAGATAACGACAGAACTTCTTGAGATCCATCTACGGGAAAATGTACCTTCCGTTGCCACATGACTAGATTACGTCAAACCATAGTCGTTACTAAAGTGGCATTGGTGTAACAGACACCTCTCCATTCGGTTCTGCCATAAATAAATGGTTCACGATATCTACCAAGTCCAAGATAGTAGCCTAAACTATTCTTGAATAAATTCGTCTCCCACGCTGTTTTCGTGTTTCGTGTCGACTTTTTGTTTCCGTTGCCTTATTTACCTTTTTTTTTCTTTTTCTTTTTTTTTTTTTGTAATAGAGCTTAGACAATATTGAGAAACGGATTCCACTTTATGTGTTCGAATACTGACAGAATAGCTATTTTAATAGTTCTGCTTTGTTAGCATATGACCGTTCTAGTGTGTTTTCGGCAAATCAGGCGATAGACTATGCAAACGAGGTCACTAAGATAAATTAGGAAACCGCTACAAGGGATTTACGACGTCTGACGTAGACCGTACACGCATCGCATCGCATCGCTAAATGGCGTAATACTATTACTGATAGCAATTGACTGTTGTCTGCTGTTTTGTTGGCGGCAATGCCCACATCCTGCAACCGATAACAGATTATCAAAGGAACAAAATGTTGTCAATTCTTTGAAATGGCAACAATAGATGAGATTCTGTCAGGTACCAGAATCAATCCATTTAATCTAATAGCTCCTTTGCTTTCTCTATGAGCTAGTCGGCTTCTCAGCAGTTTAATTCACTACGATTTTGCCGGTGAAACCGACGCTCACAGCTTGCTTTGACAGATCAACGTTGTCGGCCATATTGCCTCACCATCCTCGCATTGAACAAGACCTTTTTCTACCTTTGTTTATCTTGTATTGGTGTGTCTCAGGTTATTCTATTTCGCATCGTCATACGGATCTCAATGCTTCAAGTCGTCTCAGACACGGCGTTTCACGTACATCCTTTAATTTTCAAGCCTTGTTGAAGCTTCGCGTCGACAATTCGGTCCGTTCTCTTCCTCCCCCCCCCCCTTTATTTGTGCTTGCCGTTCACCATACTTCAATCACAAACGCTCAGATTGTATTTAGGCGTCTCTACACGACTTCGCGCTCATACACGCGTCATGTACCTTTTGTCTTCGCATGCACGTCATGGCTACCGTTGAAAACCTGTGGTGTTTTTTTCCTTTTCTTATATCTAGGGTTACATTCGTTTTGGATTTCTGCAAAATGATACTACTATCCGATTTCGTACAGACCTACGTACGGCGATAGTACTCGTTATTGATGTAAGCGTTCTCTATCACAGTCGTTACGTTATCACAGAACGACAGTCAATCAAGCGTCCGAATCAATATCAGTGTACCAGCACAGACTATTATGTTTCCAATGGATTAAGTAGCTGAATAATCCGCAGTCGAATCGGCTCGGCCTTGAGTTACCAGTTATAGCCAGTCATCTAGCTCGCGAAGTTTGTTCCTATGATCGCCATAGAGTTTACTATTTCTGTTAACACGATCATGAACCGGAGGCTGCTGCTACGAGAGGAATCCACCGTCGACGTCGTCGCATTACACCACGACACCTGCAATGAGCGTACAAAGGCCACACAGTGATAAAGTGTCACAGGAGTTGCGCCCAGGACAAGCGTATCAGCTAATATCGAAAGCTCCTTACAGACTTCCAATAAAGTAGAAAAACGCTTGCCAAGGTTCAACACGCATGCGGTCTTCGTCCAGCGTATATGTGTGTATATTGGGCGAAAATTCTATGATTGTGTACATGTATATATATATAGTACTTCTTTTAATCGAATTGTCCGCTTTATATACAGGTGGTCCGGTGTCTTTCTGTCGCGAGCAAAATTGTCACTTATAAATGCCTCTAATCATTCGAAGCTTGTAGCATCCGACCGGTATTCCAATGGATATTACCGTTTGGATGAAACAGAAGTCAGGTTAACGTACAATGGCAAACGCTTTGCCATTCGTTAGAAGTAAAACCAAGGTACAAGTAAGGATTGCGGGTAGAGTACGCCTGAACTATTTTTCCTCTGTTGAGTATCGAAATCTATTGATAAAGCTTTGATATATGCCACAAATAGGTTGTAGCTATCTTACCAAGACTCTCTGACTGTTCATAGGATTCAGTATATGGAGAACTGGTAAGTGCAAATTAAGGATGGGTTGCACAGCCTAGAATTACATTGATTGTCCTTGCCAGCCTACTCCTAGTCCTAGCTTTGGATTTACTCTACCGACACTTGATACGAGGCAGATGACTTCTAGCAATTCCTAGTAAGCGCTCGAACTCTTTGTTATACTGTGAGCACGTAAATGTTTGCAAACAAACCATATCAATTTTTGCAATTCAAAGACAAGAGCTTCCTTTTACCACAAGATACGCTTTTTTTTTCAAATACGGAACGCGCGTTTTGGCTAATCTTTACGATCTACTAGGGTGAATACTTACTTAGCCGTTACTTTGTCTTTATCCTTCGTTCATATTGACGTTTCTACGCTCGACGCTGATAAATGCCCGCGCCCGAATAGAGATTTGAGCCTACTTCCTTTTCAAATAGGCCAAACAGATACATCACTATTGCATGTCGGCTTAGCAGTCCGATTGTAAAAAACACGGGCATCATTAGATTAGCAAAGTGTCTGCAACGAACGGTTAACTGCGATCGACAAAGGTGGTACAAACAAAAAGTTACTTTGATATAAATATTTCGCCAGATATATAAGGTAGAGTACGATGTGTCTCTACAATTCATTTACTCCACAATTAGTAGAATAAAATCGATTTGTAAGAAAGCCTTTTTTTTACGACACTGTTACTACTCCCAGCAATATTTTTTTTTTGCATTGTCCTCTCTCTCTCTCTCTCTCTCTCTCTCTCTCTCTCTCTCTCTCTCTCTCTCTCTCTGAATGATGATTGATCTCTCTGTGGTGGGAATTTTCCCCATGCTTGCACTGACATTTGTGGGATATTGGGCTGCCTGTCTACGAGACGTGTGCTATTGACTATATATTAAAACAATCTTCACTGGCATCTGCTGGAGACGCAGTCGATCAGGAAGTTTATGGTCTTGTCAAACCTGTTCCACGTAGAACGTCGAAACGACTGACTGATATGCCGTTAGCACGACGATCGTTGAAGTACCGTGGTGCCACAATTCTCAAACGAAAGATTCAACTTTTTCGAGTAGAATGACTCAATTAGTTCCAGCAACGGATGCCCTAACACGCTGCACCTCAGCCATTTGGTGTGCAGCATATATGGTATCTACTATCGGGGCAGGCGACAATAACAATTGGCCAAACGTAGGTGTTGCCTGGTAACTTAAAAAAAAAAACCATATCTTAAAATAGAACCTAAGACTTTTAAAATCATTCATATAATATTGAAGATAATAACTGGAAAGTCCAGAACACACGCGCTATTCTGGGGAAAAATTGATCGATCAACTTCAATGGAAACTCAGTGACTTTTTATCTGCTTTGCTAGTCATCCGTTTTCGCCTTCGCAAGATCTCTCTCATTGTATTAGTACTTTATTTGGAAATTATTTTATTAAGATATGACGCACACAGGTTACATAACCTATGATATGCAAGCCTTACAAAGCATTTACCAAATTTAAGCTAAACAAAGACACATTGTTACAGTGTCAAGCGAAGCCAAGCTCATCCTGAACAATAGAAGGCATATTTCGGCTATTCTATTTGTTGACCATTTTATTGTAGAGTTTATTTGGCATTGTCTCTCCTTCTCTATTCTTATCGGTGCTGACAGTGATATTGTATAAGCGGAAAAAACAATGTATCCCAATAAAATATACGTTTCTTTTCGAAAAAAAAATACGTAAACGATTTTTACACGTTACGTGTATTACGAGCTGGAAATAAACAAAGCCGCCATACATATTACCAGGTGCAACTAGAATGCAGATAAATACGTACATGCGCATAGGTAATGGGGTCTTTTGGAGGCCTTGGCATGAACGTTCTATTAGTAGACCTACATACAGGTAATATGTGACGACTCAATATAAACTGTCTGAAGTTATTTACTCAATAATTGCACGTCTGTTGTTTCTATTCGTTATTACATAGATAATAGATAAACGGCAGGCATAATGTGGATTAAGGTCGAAACTACGTCCTATCATTATCATTGTCATTATATCCTGCAGACTCAGCATGTAATAATTCTTGACAGCCTATGAGGATGGCAATGGTGGCTCGGGCGTCAGTAATGTTACATACGTAAACGTTGTCGTAGTGGGCTACCTGGTTCCCCGATAGTTCGCTGCCATCATTTGAGTGTAGCGATAGATGCCTTAGGACGTTACCACAGCGTTGCCAGCCTGAGCGCAACGATGTCGAAGGCTTTAGGTGTTTGCCGTTGAAGGCAGGAACATCTTATATCTATACGTCTCGCTTTGTAGGCTAGCAAGCCAAGATATACTAAGCTTTTATGATCTCAAAATAGAATTGAGTACGTTTTAAATAGAAAATGTATCAAACGGCATCGGTCCACACTTTGATACATTAGAATCGTCGTTTTACAAAAGTGGTGGCGTAGAGAAAATCGCATCTACACATTCAGACGTGCTGAATTCAAACTTTAAACGTTAAATTTACTGTGAAAATGCTGATCTGCTAAAATCGTCAGCGGAAACAAATGTGGTAAATTAATACACGACTTAGTCAGGTGGCCGAACAAAAATTCTGTCTCAGGTAAATGTTTATCTGATCACACAGAACCCACGGCTTCACTGTGCCCTAGCCATTCACTAGTTGCGGTATAGCTTTCCGTTGCCCTGATTCGTTCATGTTAACTTTCAGTGACCGCGTGCCTCTTCTTTATATTACACTTGACTTTAAGACAAAACGGGAGAACAGCATATGCGTTACCTATCGGCACAGGTTGATTTGTTAACGGCAGACGCTGGGTGGAATCTGTAAGTGCCTCGTGTTTTTCTCCGTCGAAAAAACTTAGGGTGAGTTCTATGGTATAACTGGGCGAATTATATAAACAGGATTTACACAACAGCCAAATAGCTTTTGTGAATATTTGATATTAAATTTTATAGCGATGAAAATAGTCTTTCGGATCAGGATCGTCGAATATCACTCAACCGCTCACTCGATAAACCGCTTTCCTACGCGGCTGTGTTTCTCAGTAGCTTTATTAGTTATCTTAATTCGATGTAAATCAATAGAGTCACAGCAGCCCACAATAATATGGGCTATTACACATAGATTTCAATCACGGGGCAGCGTTCACACATTCGTTTACGACGTCAGGGTTGATGGCTGAGTCGCAGTGACATATGCCAATTGAGAAACTGATCAGGACCAAAAAAGGCCAACCAAACAATCCATTTCGCTTCTAGCATTATTTTTGTATCGAAGTACCCCGCAAAGTTTTAGCGCATTATCATATATCGCCGATCTAGCGCTGAACGCGGTAAATTGTTTGTATATATATATATATATATATATATAGGTGATGTATCCGACTATGAATGTCGAACAGGTCAACAAAACACAGCCCTGTTTTAATACGAAGCATTTGTCTTAGAATCGCAGTGCATCAAGGTTCCTCAGTAGAACATGGCCGTGTTACAGCTCTGCCTGACGTGAGTTATTGGACGAGCAAATGTTCCTACATAACAAAGAATATCTTCGGTGCGGACAACTATGGCTGTGAAGTCCTGCATCGATTCACTTGTCTTGGACGACAATTGAAGCCTGTAGAATATCCCGTTGAAAAACTTCCCATAATTCGAGTGTTTTTTATTTTTTTGCCGCCAAATACAACCGCAGCTGATGGTCTGCCGTTACGTGGATAGGCCGCGTTATGAGGACATTAAATTTATGCAGGATACTTAATCTGCTGACCCGTAAAACAGTGAATATGTCGTATCTATCGAGCAGCTCATTGTATGGCCGTGACGGAGGCGTTTCGTAAGGGCCTCCTTAGATAGGACGTCACTAGTGCAAGGATGACAAGTCTCCTGTTATACTCTCTATATGTTATATGTAACGTGAACAGGAATAATGGGGAGAGAAGAAACGGTGTAACGACAATTATAACAGATGTTTTGGTAAACAAATACATAATTCCTACATTACGTTACTTGTAACCGTGTCGCCGGTGTATATAACGAGTCTACCGACTGAAATTATAGGGAAAGTGTAACAACGTAATCCTGCCGGAAAATAGCCAACGGAAAACAGGGAACAATCTATTTTTTTATTTCATTCTGTTCAATTGGTTCCGCCACTTTAACACTATAATGACAAGAATGGACATTCAGTCTATAGATACGAGTAAACATTTCGAAATTATTTCAGCTACCAATATATTTAATGGCCTGCAACTGAAGAGGATGGTAACACAGGTTGCGATTCTTATCGACAAAAGAAGTTGTGAAAAAACTTCTCCATTGTTTGTCCATTAAAAGCAACGGCTGCTAGCAGGCGGCGCGATCTGAAAACTGACGAGCTTGGCTAGCGGTACGCTTCCGTTGAAGTTACCAATCAATTTCGTTCGTGCGCATCGCAAAGGACACACATTTGCAGGCGTATGCGTACAGCCTGTGTCACACGAACTTCCAATACAGAATATAAAGCCCTGCTCTATAAGTAGTAAGATTCTTGACCTTAGATTATGCTACACTAGATTTCAAGAAATCTGTAATCTACAAGTAGATTTGATATTTTCAACATAAAAATGAAATGTCTGATCTTGACGGTGATTACCGCCGCTGCATATAAATGAAGTATGAGAAACCTGAACTCATTATAAAAAAAATCTTCTTTAGTCAATCTTCGTCGGTTATTTTTCTGGTAAAAGAGGGCTGAAGCTGTAGTGTTATCGCGATCATGAACGAACCAGCATACAAAAAGAGTCAATGTCAGAATGAGCAGAATCTATAGTAGAACGTTCGCAGGATGCCCAGAGCCCAGGAAGTTCACAATGCGCACAAAGCAGACGCTGAATGCGCGAACGAGCTACCAAGCAGACTGACCATTAACAACGATATATATATATATATATATATACATATATATTGAGTCGACGCAAAGCCAAACACATAACAGAAGAACACGAAGAATTCTCTGAAATCCAACGGTGTACGCTGTTTCTTCTTTGGACAGAGGCCGATAAACGTTGATTTTTTTGGGAAAGAGAAACTTTCTTGCTTACCTCCCCCGACATGTCAGGAGTAAGTGACACTAAGCTAGTAGCCATCGCTGTTCCACCACTACTACTAGAACCTCTGCTACAAAACAATATACAAATAATCGAGTGATTAACTGATTGACAAATGTTGTGCTTTACTTTGCTGCGTGTCCCCCATGATTCCCATTAGTACTTCTTATATATTCAAATAAATACACTTAAGTATCTTACAGTCACTAATACTTGAGGGGACCTCAGAGACAAAGTCTAAGGAGAACGCACAATATACATCGATGGATAGCTACCAAGTGGATGATAAATGCCTAAAACTTTTTCTTTGGCTTTGCAGAGTCCTACGAAGGCGCCTATTTCAAAATATGCTTGATAAAATACCTACAGAAGTACTAATAACAATTGTATAGACCTGTTATGCAAGATTCGATCGCGGTAGTCCTTCGTGCCTTTCCCGTGACTTCTTAAACCGTTCCATACGGAACATAGTAAATTACGACAGATATATTATAAATAATCTAATTAACCAGTTTGGTGCTAAATGTGATCAATTGCACGAATAGCATAGAACGTGTCATCCTGACAAATCCGATATCATTTCACCAAAGAAAAATTCCAGTATCCCCTTCACAGTTTAATTTTTTTACGAACGTAAACAGTAGAATAACGATTCTGAATGGGGAGTTTCATTGATCGGGCGGTTATCTCAGTTACGGAAACGAAACTCCAGCAGATTGGGGGTGCTACATTGGATGATAGCGACAGTTTTATACGTTAGATCTGTCATCCGGTCGTCGGCATACGTTGACAGGTGTTTTCTTTTTTTTTTTGCCAAATTTACAATATTATACGCGCAAACGGTTTGCGGAGAACAGGCAGAACAGAGATAGCCGCCTCTGGGACACTCGATCGAATATCTGCCTTTTTACCAGTTAATCTCATATAAATTAACTTCGCTATCCTATTGCCGCTTCCAGTAAAGGGTTTAAGCGCCCAAGCAAAGATGGAGAAATTCTGCTAAGTTGTGCTTACAGTCTCAAATGTATTCCAGCGTTCGGACTTAATCAGCGTGTACTTTAGTTAAACGCTCCCTATAAGCTGGATAAAAGTGACGACCGGAGACGACGGCGACTGTAAATGTAATAACTTGAAACCTGCCGTATACGAATAAGAGTAGTCAAAGAGGACTATCGTTACGGAAACAGGCTTATTATACGATAACATATAACGCTTTTGCCTTAAAAAAGCCAAGCTTGTAGCCCCTAGCACAATTTACCTCTTAACAAATAAGGGTGATAATAGTAACATCTTTACTCGATAGACGTGCTTATTTTTTTCGCTTCTAAAAAACTAACGTTCAGTTTTTGGCCTGTGTAAGTTAATAACGCACGATATGTTTGATATTGTGGCCTTAAGCCGGCTAGCTGTAACGTTCCAGTATTAATAGAATCAACAATTAGAGACGTGAAGTGAAAATTCAGATAAAAATAATTGATTGCTGTGACAGAAAGAGCTGATAGCAATGACGTAGAGCTGAGACCATATCGACGTCCACAGATGGTTAAAGGTCTAACACCACAGACGACATCGGATCAAAAAATGAGGCCACTGTGCCAACGATGCCAGATCGGAAATTCGTTAGGAGAAAATCAAACAGTAACCATATACACGGCACAGCACATAAATGGCGACCTCTTAAAGCCTTTTTAAAAACTGTGTTAAAACAAAGGCCGATTTCAAGCAAATGCTTTTAAATAGGCCAGTCTTGACGGTCGTCTTTATTCAATACAATGGCTATGACTTTGATTCGGATCCTCGAACCTTTACCAACCGGCGTGAAATATTCCCTTTATAATTCTGTGGATGCCTTGTTGATACCACGACTAGGCGAGTCGACGTTATCATGCAAAGATTTGTTAAATCCTCACTCAATAACGTTTCACACATAATAATCTAATGGGTTGAAAATCCCCATTGTTTGTCGACTATCACCGCACAGCATGCTTGCATTTTTAGGCAGCCAATATCGGCTTGGATGGGCTTAGGCATATATTGTTGGAAAACTCATGGTTTTCACTCAGACACTCCAGCTGCAGATATACTTCTTTAGTGATGAGCTTGTCCTTGGATGTAGTGCGCTTCCTCCACAGGACACAACCTTCAAAACGTGGTAGGCATAGCCTCTGGATCCAGAGCAAGCCCGTGATCACTTCTGTGGTTTATGCTGCCATCGAGGATAAAGTTTCTTGTCAGACTAGCCGAAAACGACCTGCTACAATAGGATTTAGGCAGCGAGTAGAAAATATTAACGAAATCTATTGGTCTTATTGTCCTAAGGGAGTATTTGTATGACTTCATAACATATGGCGTACACCTAAGATTTTCGCGAAGAGTCTGTAATATCGTACGCTCGCTTATATCCGATTGCTTCACTGGTGCCTTGATAAAAAAAAAGCAGAAAGATCATTAGAAATACAACCTTAGACGGTAGCAAATAGATTTAGAGCTCGCACTGTTTTTGTTACGCTATACTGTGGCCTAATTCGGCTTCTTCTGCAGCCACATACTCATCTGTAATGCGATCCAAAGTTAGCCAGGAAGTTTATAATCTTGATAGCCGATTTCTGCTCAGATTCTGAGAACGACACAACATTGCTCGTCATTACGAGTAGATTGTGTTATTGTGCAAGGAATTGATTTTTACAATCAGCGAAACCAGGAGTAGCGGATGAGCGCGTGCCCGTGACAACAAACAGCCTACTAAAGGCGCCGTACATTGTGTATGTAGAAAGTGTGAGCGGATCTACCTGTCACCGCCTTGAAACACGATTGAAACTGAGCCGAAAGACAGAGTTTTTCGCAAGAGCCTTACACTCAACTGGATCAAAGGGCCTCTGGCAAACAAGTACATTGGTTGCGTGTATATGGAGCTGCACTCTAAACTGTAGTATTTCACTACGATGCCCGTTAAGAGGCATAAACTGTGAACGCATAATATCATAATCAGCAAAGTCAAATATTTTAAGCGAACTACCTATAAAAACCTTGATTTGCCTAAAATAACATAGACTTGAGCGTGAACATATGCGTCAATACCTCGTTATGGGAAAATGTAGGTTTAGGATAATTTCAAAGCGAAGGGATTTTTAAAAAGCGCATGGATGCGACAATGACAGATAATTCTTATACGGATGCGTAAATCTAATAGCTAGTAAGTGAACA